TCGTTTCCACTGCCATCATGACAGTGCTCTGTAAAGCAGATTGCAACTGTCATATTAACTGTAACGTTTTTATTCGTTAAGTATAACTAAGTTAAAGGAGGTTGGCCCTATAAACTTGTTGAACAGAAACCATTTACTCCCGTGTCGGAGCTTAAACACGGCAAACGTCGACCTGGAAGTCAGCATGCAACATGGGAGAAGGTGGAGGCAGGTCAACTTTAGTGGAGAAATATTTCCTTCTACGATACAGTCACCGGTGCCTTACGATAAAAGTGTTGCGTAGCTGCCAACACAGCGGATATCACCAAATGGAGACGTTCTGCTAATGCAAAGAAGCTCAAGGTGATGATCTCAACAACAAATGCATCTTCGAGTTCTTCGTGTCGCTATTCTTTTGTACTATGTAACGGAAAGTTTCTCGCGTTGCCGCAATTAGAGAAATAAATATCTAACCGAATGATCTGTTGCGATGCGTTTTCAGACGAAGAAAAGTCACTTGTGTCTTTCATCTAAACACACAATGCCTGGAATTCCTACTGGATACGGTCGGCATGGCACGCAAGGCCCGAGCTGTTTCGATCAAATCAAAATCGGATTTCTTATGGGCGCAACTGTCGGTGCGACATGTGGCGTGTTTTTGGGAACTTTTTCTGCTATTAGGTATTAACCTGTACTTATGTTTCTTACTGTGAAGTGATGTGGCTAATTTAGCATGGGAATTCGTGGGCGCGAGCTACTTCGACACTTGGGAAAAATATCATTATCGGCCAGCGGCAGCTTTGGACTATTCATGGCTGTTGGATCAGCGCTTAGGTGTTGAAAAATGCATTTTGAAGGATGATGTTATGCCAGATTGCTCGTTGTCATATTTCTTAGTCCTTGTTAGTGTTGCTAACTAAACTTCTTCATGACTCCGAGTAACGTGATGCAACTTCACCGAGTGGACTTCTCAAGCCGAGATCTATCCTACAAAATGTTGTGAAGCACCGGATATCTTACCTCTGCAGAAGGGCTGCGGGCTATCGTTCTTATTTCTTCTCAAAAGTAATATGATAAAAATTGCCA